AATGGTGTAAGTGTAAATTTGAGGACAGGAGAAAACCCACATCTCATCTCAAGCAGTCAGGCAGAGAGAGTAAAATCTCCTCTCTTCTGCTGTTTTCTTCTAACCATTGCCCTCAATGGACTGGATGGTGTGAACCCACATCTGGGAGGGTAATCTGTTTCACTCAGTCTACCAATTCAAATGCTAAGCTCATTTGGAAACACCTTCACAGACATATCCAGAAATAATGATTAACCAAGGATCTGAGCACCCCATGGTCCAGTCAAATTGACACATAAAATTAAGCATCACACCCTGTACTAAAGTAAATGGAAAACTGCAACAATCCAATTCAGCCAGGATTACTAATGGCCCAGACCCTTTAGGAATGAAAGTTTGGGTCACCCTGCTAGGTAAAGAACCAAAGTCATTGAGGTGTTTGCTTTGGGTAAAGGAAATAGGGAATGTGTTATTGGAAGAAGATAGCTATAAATACCAACTAAGACATGTAACTAGCTGCAGAAATTAGGGTTATAATAGTTATGAGTATTTCTTCCTCGTTTTGTCATGAAATATGTTTGTATGCATTTTAACCAATTATTTTTGTTTTCTTCTCTCTCTTATCCCCTTATATAACATAAGATGTATTCATGAAATTAATTTTGTATCACATCATTTAAGTTACGGTATGTCAAAGAGAAGAGTGGGTATCATCCTAGCACTTTGCATCCTCTTCTGGAGAAAGGGTTAGTGTGTTTGGGTTGTATGCAGGATGTGTGATGTCAGGTGGAAGTGTGACTTTGTTATTGCCTTTATTTGGAGCATAAGTATCATTTATAGAGGTGTGTAGGGATGCCAAGCTGACAGAATGAACAGTAATGGTCTAGTTGACATGGCAACTTGCCTAGGCTGTAGTCCCAATTGTTAAACCAAAAATCCATAATCAATTAAATTTGACTTTAAATAAGAGTGATTGTCTTGCATAATTTGTATGAGCCTCACTCAATCATTTGAGAGGTCTTAAAAGCAGAGTTGAGGCTTCCTTGAAGACAAAGGAATTCCACCTATGGACAGCAATTTCAGCCCATGCCCAAGATGTCCAGCTGCCCTCCCTGACTTGTCTAATCAGCCCCCACAATTGCATAAGCCAATTCCTTGCAATAAATCTCCTAATATATATCTCCTACTAGTTCTGCTTCTCTGGTTGAAACTTGACTGGTATACATGCCAAAAGAGAATTAAGTCTGAAGATAAAATTAAGCTTGCTGATCAGTTGCAGCTGACTTTAAGATAGGAGGATTATCCTGCATTATTTGGGTGAACCCAGTGCAATCATGGGGTAGTTAAACGTGGAAGAGGGAGGCAAAAGGGTCAGTGGCAGAGTGGTACAGCATGAGAAAGAATCAACTGCTGTTGCTGGCATTGAAGATAGAGAGGGGCCATGAGCCAAAATGCTGGCAGCTTTAAAAAGCTGGCAAAGACAAGAAAATGGATTCTTCCCTAGAGCTGCCAGAAGACATGCAGCCCTGCTGACACTGATTTTAGCCCAGTGAAACCAATTTCAAACTTCTGACCTCCCAGACTATAAGATAATAAGTTATTGTTGTTTTAAGCCACTGAATTTATGGTAATTTTTTACAGCAGCAATTGGAAACTAATATACCAAATCTATAAATATATATGTAAATATTTATATAAATGATATAAAAATTATAGCATTGACTTAATTTCTTCTTTCTTTAAGATTTATTCATTTATTTTAGAGACAGAAAGACCAGGGGGAGGGGCAGAGGAAGAGGGAAAGAAAGAATCTCAAGCAGACTCCCTGCTGAGCATGGAGCCCAATGTGGGGCTTGATCTCATGACCCTGAGATCACGACCTGAGCTGAAATCGAGTTGGACGCTTAACCTACTGAGTCACCCCGGTTCCCCTTAATTTATTCTTTACAAAAGAAATTCAGAAAAAAAATAAGTACCACTGGGATTAGTACTGTGTGAGAGATTGTTTAAAGTTTCTACTGAGACAGTCCAATAAAATCAATGCTAAGATTCATGATAGGGTTCCCTTATGAAGAATTATAAAGAAAATTGTCTAGAAAAATTGACTTCATGACCCTCAAATCTCTCAACCAAATCAAGAATATAAAAGGGACAGGAAAGTGTGGGGAAAGTTGGCAGAAGATATGGTGTGAGATATGAGACTAAACTGTGAGCCCAGTCTCACCCCAATCCCAAGAGGCAAAGGAGGAGCCAACTATCTTATGGGGTGGGGAAGTTTCCCCAGGGCTACCCAGATAGCTCAGTGTTTTATTTCTGCTTGAGGGGGGTGCAGGAGGGTTTGGCTTCTTCTTTGGTGAAGCCAGGAGAGGGATACTGTGCTAGGATCTATATACCCAGAGCTTGTCCCCCACAGGAGAGAGAATAGGCATATGAGGGCACAATGGGCCCCGTCTAAACACACAACCTGGAGGGGCAAAGGGACGCAAGCAGTAAGTTAAAATTCACACATAGAGCCTCAAGTGGCCTCCAAAAGTGGAGATGCATCCATCTGGAACAAAGGACAGTGCCCATAAGACAAAGGTTGGCTCTAAATGTCTGCCAGGTCCAGACCACATGGAGTCAGATTATAATGATGCCCTGTTCTTGTGAGAGCTTTTCTTGTCCCTTATGAGTCTCTGGAACAACTCCTTCCTGTTTCAACTTTTCAAGGTGGGAAACTGTGAGGGTTGAAGGTAGAGGAAGAAATAAAAAGGGGGGGGAAAACTGAGATGAGGCCAACTCTATGCCCCTTTGTCACTTGCAGCCCCAGGTTGGCCTGTGCTAGGGGTTTGAGGCTTAACACATAATATAGTCCAGAATTTCTATTAACATCTTGGGTTGGATATTCTAATTACTGGATTGAGACTCCGTGACACTTAGCACTGTCTCCTACATAAGAATGAGCACAAAAGTGAGAGGACTTGCCAAATTTTCATTCAGGGGAATAAGAAGAAATTCCCCCACTGAACACTTTTTTAAAAAGGCAGGAGAATGGATGAATAAATAAGTGAATTAACTGTTTGAGTTACATCAGCATACCAGTTATATTTATTATAGGGACTTTCCATTTCTCACAGTATATTCCAGCTAGGTTAGAAAATTAACACGAATTCTGTTTTCCCATGATCCCCTGCTTCTGTGCCACACATAAACCGGACACCTAGAATCATCAAGATTTCCTCTCTCATACCCACCCATTCAGTCTCTAATGCAGTCTTCCTTTACATAGATTCTATACCTCCGTTAGTCCTTTCCATTTTCCCCACTCTCCCTTGTTCCATTATTATGGGTCCAGATGGCTTCATATCTTGGTTACTATAATAATTTTTTCATTAGTGTCCTTGATTAGGTCTTAGGATCACTTTCCAATTCAACTTATTTACACTGAAGCTAAACCTACATGAAAATATAGTATCTCTCCATGCTTCTTTGCTTAGCATTCAAGGCCCTCCGCAATCTGATTCTACCTTCTTCTAAACTCTATTCCTTCTTCTTCCCTATCCAATGAGTTTGTTCCCAGTAAAAAGGTATGCCTCTGTATCTTTTTCCTTATGCTTGAAATATTCCCATGACTGTGGCTATATTTCAATGTTTTGTGAGAACCTATCCTTCCTTCAACGCCCAACTCAAATGCTGCCAACTCCATGAAGCCTTTCCCAATTGCCTCAGTTTGAAGATTTAGCTGCAGTGTAAGGTGGATTCTAGAACAGTATACATCCACCTAATTAAATCAACTAGTAACTGGGAGAGGCCTAATATTTGCAGGTTCCCATCACTACTGATTTGACCTTTTAATATGAAATTTATATGTCTTGAGCCAAAGATGAATTGACAAAAGGAACGTGATTGACATAAGGAAACAAAAATCTCCATTCTATATTCAGAACTTTACAGGAAGATCTCAGGGGCAGAGGAAGCTTTGTCACAAGACAGTTACTTCTGTGCTGGAATAGAGTTAATTGAGTTTTCACTGAGGTTGGAAAAAGGACCCACTTTTATAGTCAGTGTCCAATCAGAAACCATATAGTAATCTGAACAATGAAGGTTTAATCTAAAAATTAGCTTTTTGATGTAGTGTTCCATGTATGGTGATTAACATAACATAATAAAATACAATTTAAAAAAGAAGTATGTTAATTATAACATTCTAAAAAATTAGAAATAAATTTTATGCCCAACATAAAACACATAAAAATAAAAAATAAAAAGCTACAAAAAAGCAAAAACTGGAAAAATAAAAAATTAACTACCGCAGAGGATTAACTAGAAAGAAGAACTGGGGCTAAGAAAGTATACCCTCAAAGGGAGTAAACTTGGAAAAGAGGCCCCCTCCTTCCAAGGCTAAGACTCGGGCCTTATTGGGGAAGTCCCCCGGACAGAGAAAACCCCTAGCTGTTCTGGGCCAGAGTTGATCGGTAGTTGGCTGGAGCACAGACCGGCAAGCAAGGAAATCCTGTTGGAGTGGAGTGCAGGGAACAGTCTTCCGGGGTGGGGGCCAACAGAGGCTGGCAACCTGGGAACCATGACTGGGATTCACTGGGAATTTGCCCTGTGGGCATTCTGCAAGGGAAAGCATGCACAAGAGATGCCACACCTCAGAAGTCATTGTAAAGCCATCCGAGGAGGTACTGGGTACAGGTCCCCCCACGGGGAGGCCCTGTGTTGTGTTGGCCACCAGACATTGCTCGCTGCCACAGCTCTGTAGGAGCCTGGCCTGCAGAAGCCGGCCCCTCAAAGGACCCTGCTCGGAAGGAGCGCAGTAAGTGAATTTGAAAAAAACGAGCCCATCTTCCTGCAATGTCCCTCCAGCTCCCTCTACTGACGAAGTGTAGCATTGTGCCAGCTTCAAGGAGAGAACTGTGGATCAAATCCGGCTGCAAAACAGTGGATTGGGGGCTGAGAGGCAACACACTGAATAACTGGAACACTGCCCAAACCGTTCTCTTCCGGTTTTTATTTCCCTATTCATCAAACAAAACGGATTTGTAAATCAACTTCCCAAGTACTTAAATCTCGGGATTTCTCTATTACCATCACCATCATCAAAGAATCCCAAGGGAACAACAACAAAAATTATTGAGACGTGTTCTAGAATAGATGCTTACAAACATTCTGATGTAGGATGCTAAAATAGCCACTATATTAAACAACAAGCCATATGTAAGTACATGGTTTTATTCTTTCTATTTTAACATATGAGAAACTGAAGTCCAAGAACATATAGCTAGTAAGTGATGGATCTAAAAATATGAACCTGGGACCATCTGATTAGAAAATCATCAGTCTTCTCACTAACTCAGCCTGAATTTCTCACCAAGAGACTAATTATTTTTTTTTTGATGGGCCAAGAAATTCCAGGCATCAGGCTGAAAATGCAGTGCCCTTTGAGAAAACCCGCTGGTAATCAGCTTCTTCTTCTTCTTCTTCTTTTCTTCTTCTTCTTCTTCTTTTTGTCTGACACATCTTTTCTTTGAATGCCTAAAAAATGCAATAGAAGTTATGGTTTTCTCTATGAAATTTGATAGTTTCGTTGTGAGCACACTTAGAGTCTGGTTGTACCCACAACTCCGCTGCTGGGCGATGCTAGCAGCCTAATGTTTATGGAGCACTAGGTGTTAGGCTTGGCGCTAGGTCCTGCGCATGCCTTTTCCCGCCTAACCCTTGCTACAGTCCAGGGGGTAAGTATGACCAGCCCCATTTTCCAGATGAGAAACTAAAGGCTGGAGAGGTTAAATATAACTTGACCAAAGTTATCACCTAAGTGGGGGCAGTAGGATTTGAACCCAAATAGGATTTATTTCAAACATTCCTGACTTTTAAGTTTTAAAAATATAAAATGGGGCTAATATATTTTTTTAGCTACATTCAATTAATAAAAGAAATTACTAGGCGCCTGGGTGGCTCAGTTGGTTAAGCGACTGCCTTCGGCTCAGGTCATGATCCTGGAGTCCCGGGATCGAGTCCCACATCGGGCTCCCTGCTCAGCAGGGAGTCTGCCTCTCCCTCTGACCCTCCTCCCTCTTGTGCTATCTCTCATTCTCTCTCTCTCTCAAATAAATAAATAAAATCTTAAAAAAAAAAAGAAATTACTGCCTCGAGATTTTTCGGCTCCTTTAAAAATGTTAGGCTGTGTTATGGTGAGCAGCCCATTTCTCTGGAGTTACTGATATGGCACCCCTTGTCCATTCTCATTAATTCCAGGTGAGACAGGGCAGACCCATGCGTACTTGACTCAAGCAATTTGCAATTGTCTAGGATGAAGATAATTGCTGATATAGTAAATATTTTTGGCAAACTGATGTTTCATGGCCTCGTTTCTTACCTTGTGTCCGCTTGCTGAAAGCATTACATCGACCGAGGGGACCTCTGTGCAACTCAACTAATGAGTCTCCTTAGGCTTCCACTTCTATGTTTAGCCCAAAATAGATCTCAGTGCCCATTTCTGTGATGCTCAAACTAGAGCAACACTTATATAACTACTGAAAGCAAATTCATCCAAATATTTCACATTTAAGTATTAGCTTCACTTAGATTTCTTTAAATTCTATTTCATTAAATTATCTCATTTGTATAAGATGACTATAATGACAAAAGTATCTGTGAAAAAAGGTAGGGACAAAGAGAATTTTAAGAATTTAATAATCTATAGCATATTGTTTTACTTAATTCAGTTTTATAAAATAAAATTGTGCCTATCTAGACCTACTTTTAAGATAAACATATATATATATATATTCCTTCCATAGATCTCTTAGTCTGTGAACATAGATCAGTCAATTATATCTTCCTGGGACTTCAGAATGTCGCCTAAAAAGAATTTCACGTTCTTGTAAATCTCACTAAATGAATCACAATGACAATTACAAAAGTTGGTCATTACTGTTCTAGTTAATGAGAATTTACCGTGCATAATTTCCTCAGTTTTCACAATTCTCTGTATAAATCCCTCCTTTCCGTTCACACCACGGGGTGGCAGCCTTGTTTCTCATTTCAGGTTCTGTAGTTTCACAACAGGGATCCCCATTGTTACTGAATGGGTATTGGTTTTCAGAAGAAATCAACTGATACAAAACCACGTTTTGGAGGAAATAAGTAGGAAAAAATAGTGTGGGCCTTCTTTCCTTATTTATAAAACCAAACTGATCTCCAACGTCCCTTCTAGCTCTAATTAATGATTCCAAGGCTGACTTGGAAACTGAACTTGAATCTAAGATTGTGAGATGGGGATGATGGGACAGAGTCTTCAGGCGCAAGCCGAACAAGCATGCAACAGATGGGGGAAGAGGTGAAGGAGGGCTTGAGGTGAGGGTGTTCCCAGCCTTTTCAAATGCAGAAGGTATGAAAGCAACCCACTCAGCAAACGTCTCTGAAAAGTTTGAGAGTCTACAGGACAAAAGGAATTAATGAAGATTCTGATGGAAGTTAGAAATGTGCTAGAAAACACTAGTTATAAGTATTTAATTTCCACACCCTAGAAAATATCCTAAAATCAATCCTTATATATAAAACTACCATCTTAGAGGAAAGTTAGGGGAAAAAATCATTGCTAATGGAAGTAATTCTAACTGCTGCCAGGAGGAGAAATACAAAACCACCCCAAGCCAATCAAGGCACAGTTTCAGAGAGGATAATCATTAACTGATCAGTAATATTATTGTAACTCTTCTGAAGAAAAAAAAAAGTTAACAGAAAGATAGCCATTTGCATGCTGTCTCTAAAGGGGAGGACAGAAAAATTTAAGACACCTTCTGCAGCACTGTTCAGGAGAGAAATCTTGATCACATTGCATTATATATTTGGTCTGTCTGAAGTATATGCACTTTTAGGTAAGATATTTACTATTCTAGTTTGATAATGCTTGCCATTAAAAGTATCCAAGTATTCTTCCTTGAACAAATGTCCTGATCCCTGGTTAGTTCTGTTATAAGAGAAAGTATCTTACTTTCAGGATTTATTTGGAGACAATATAGCAAAGTGTTTCAGGGCACAAGCTTTGGAATTATACCATGCTTTGAATTGTCCTGCCACTTGAGTAAGTTACTCAACCCGAACCCGACCCTTTTCCTCATCTTGGTAGAGACACTAACTTACCCCAGAGGGTTGCTTGTGAGGGTTAATTGAAACAATGAATGTACAGTGTCAAGCAGAGTTTCTGGCACATTGCAGATACCAACAAATGACAGATATTGCAGGAAATGATCTCTTCACTAAAGTTTTATTAGTTTGGGTGGATTTTTAAATTGATTTTATTGGGGTTTCCAGATAACACCATCATGTGCAAATAAAAATCATTTTACTCTGCCTTTCCTATAATTATTTCTTTTTCTTATCTCATTTTATTGGCTAGAACTTCTAGAACAAAGAGGAGAAAATTATGGTGATAAGAGGCATCGTCATTGTTGTTCTACTTTAATGAATATGCTGCTAGTCCAGGCTTGACAAATAATATAAACACAAAAGACATCAAAATGTTCAAAGTTTGACTCTTCAGCTATCTCGTCTTCCTCCCAATAAGGTAAACGTTATCCTGGATTTTTTGTTTATAGTACCCTTACTTATAAAAAGAAATGTCTTTATTAGTTTTTTTTTGAAAGGCTTGCTTCAAAGAGCTTTTTAAGTTTGTTTAATTTTGCCCATCTTTGAGCCGGTATCATACTCTATATAGTCTTTGCAACTTGTTCATAACACTCAATACTGAATTGATTGAACCCTGTGATTGCTTCTAGCTTTAGTTTATTCTTTTTAACGGCTATATAATATTCCCTTGTATAAACACACCACAATTTATCTGTTCTATTTTCAGGAGACATTTGGAATTTTTTTGTACCACTTTAGCTATTAGCAATGTGGCTTTAAATATTTTTGTGCACATATCTCAGTGCAAGAGTTATCCTGATAACTACTAACAAGATGAGATTGAGCATCTTTCCCTATGATTGACTCATATTTTTATTCATATTATGATGTTTCTTCTGTGAAATGCTCTTCAGGTCTTTCACCCATTTTTCAACGGGTTGTCTGGCTTTTTCTTACTGATTTACAGAAGTTCTTCTCTTCTTGTCCTTGTTTTTTCATGGAGTGAGGACATTGATTTTAATGTTCTAAACTCAAACTGCTTTATGGTTATGGCTTTTTGTATCTTGTTTGAGAAACATTTCCCAATTCTGAGATCATAGATTTATTCTTCCATATTTTCTTTTCTTTTTTTTTTAAAGATTTTATTTATTTATTTATTTGAGAGAGAGAGAGAGAGCATGAGAGGGGGGATGGTCAGAGGGAGAAGCAGACTCCCCGCTGAGCAGGGAGCCCGATGTGGGACTCGATCCCGGGACTCCAGGATCATGACCTGAGCCGAAGGCAGTCGCTCAACCAACTGAGCCACCCAGGCGCCTTTCCATATTTTCTTTTTACAGTTTTGAAACTTTGCCCTTCACATTTAAGTCCTTAATTGTGCTGGAATTGATTTTCCTGTATGGTGTGAAGTAAGGGTCCTATTTTATAACCCATTTTCCTAACACTGATAATTGATTCGTCCATTCTTTCCCCATTGGAATTACAACATGACTTCTGATCTATATCATGTTTCCCTATATGAGTCTGACTTTGGCCCCTTACTCTGTTTCACAAGTCAGTTGATCTAATCCTGCACCAATAATTCATCATTTAATCATATAGCTTTATAATAAATTATGCTAAGTGATAGGGCAACTCTCACCCTTTTCTCCCAAACTCGTTCTTCAAGATTTTGTGAAATTCCTCCAAAAATCTTCTGGAGATCTAGATTGGAATTCTATTGAATCTATAGACCAATTTAGGAAGAAATTACTTCTTTTGGATATTGAGTTTTCCTACCTGTAAAAATGGTATATCTCTGCATTTGTGTAAGTGTTCTTGAATTTAATAGTATAATTTTTACATAAAGGTCTTGCATATCTTACTATGAGTACTCATAAATGCTTTGTTTTGTAGATCCTATAAATATTATGCATTTTTATTACATTCTTGCAACTCTTCGTTGCTAGTCAAAGTGCATATGGTTGATCCTCAGTTTTCATTCCTGCTCTTTTCTAGTGTCACTGCTATGTTGTCACTGGCACTTGCAGCAGAGTCTGGAAAGCTAAAATCTACATCTTGCAGAATCTCCTTGAAGCTAGTTTTATCTTTGTGAATTAGTTCCCACCAATCATAAACACTTACAGGCAATTTGGGAGACAAAAGTAAGGCAAAAGTCACCTTTCTGTCACTTCATCAGTTTTTGGCGAGGAGGCAAGGGCACTGAGGTATGGAGTTTGTAGCCCTGTTCTAGAATCCAGTCGCACCTCGCAGGCACTGGGTTGAGAGGAAGTTGGGAAGTGGCTTTCTGATTTCAGATTCCTGAATTGCCGCAGTGGTGGTATGCTACTGAATGCAGTTGCCTGATTCTCTAGCTTAGTTCTTGTGGTCTTCTTTGGAGGATCCTTCTGTGCTGTTCTGAGATT